CTATCATTATTCTCGTCCTTCTCCTTCCTACTCGTCCTGCTTGACTTGCACCTCCTCCTCTTCTTCCTGCCTCCTCCCTCCTCCTCCTTCTCCTCCTTTTTCTCCTGCCGCCGTAAGTCATTCAGGGAGTTCAGCAGTGTGCCCATTATTCCCCAGGCTGGCATCTCACAGCCAACGGGCGGGTCGAGGGCCATAGGTAGTGTCCCCACCAGCAGCGCGCTCGCTGGTGTGGAAAGAATGGTGCGGTCTCTGCCGCCATCCAGATGCGACTCATCAATCTTACACTCAGAAACAGTAGACACCATCGTAGAGTCCATTCGTTTGTTCGTTCGTTCTCCTCCCTCCTCCTCCTCCTCCTCCTCCTCCTCTTCCTCCTCCTCCCCCTCCTCCTCCACTTCCTCCTCCCAAGACGATGTCCTCCAGAGATGCCCGAAAACCTCCGAGACGGCCTCGACAGCGGCGTCCGCGGGCCTCCGATGGCCCGACAACGGCCAGCAACGTCTAGAAATCGTCGATGATCGATTTTTGAGCGCCGTGGGCGACGGCGGTGGCGGCGGTTGCGACTACGACGACGACGACGACGACGACGACGACGACGACGACGACGACGACGACGACGACGACGGTGACGCCGCGGCGGCGGCGGCGGCGACGACAACGCCGCCGGCGACAACGACACGACGTTGGCCCCCATCCCCGAGGATGTGAGTTCGTTTGAATCCGGGAGTTGTTCCCCATTTCGGCTTATGGGGCCCGTCTCAAAACTACCCCTGGGGGAAGGGTCCAGACTTTGGGGCCGCGGATTGCAGAAACACATCGGCGGATGTCATGGGTCGGCGACGCTGGCGGCCGCGACGGCGCCGGCGCAGGCAACGACGGCAGCGGCAGCGACGGCGACGGGGTCGACGGCGACGACGGCAGCGACCGCGGTGACGGCGACGGCGTCGGTGCATGCGCTGAGTGCACCCGCCGGCGTTCCTCGTGAGGTCGCGGGGGGCCGTCTGGGTGGTGGCGAGGGGGCGGCAAGGTGAGGCTGCTTTCCTTTAGATTCAGGCAAGGTTACTTGCATGGCATTTTCCCCTCCCCTCCGCCGCCTTTTCAAGTAGCGCTGGGCCGAAAGAGCTAGTGAGTCCCTACTTGCGTGAAGTGCAGTTTTTTTTCGGGCCTCGCCACGCCCCCCCAGACCCTTTTCGGTTCGCGAAAAAAATGCCAAGGGGAGTTCTCGTTGTTACATTCTGCATATAGGGGCCCTCGGCGGGCTCAAGAACGGCCAAAAAACGTTCAAGCATCGAAATCTTCACCTGTCCACGTTGCAAACAACATGATGGCGTCGGGGGTCTGGGACGGCAGCGGCAGCGACGTCGACGGCGACGGCAGCGACAGCGACAGCCGCGACGGCGACTGCGTCGGCGGCCACCGCCAGCCGCCGACTGCTGCCGCGGGCGCGCCTCGTGGGGTCGCGGGGGCGCCGTCGAGCCAGAGGGTGGACGGCAAGGCCATGGGACATGGCTGCGCCTGGAGAACCCTCGTCGCAACGTCCAGATGGTCCTCGAACGTCCGGTCAGAATGCACTTTGGAAGCTCTCCAGAGAGTAGCGGCATCGGTGCCCTTTTGTCCCCCCCAGGCCAGCAGAGTCCAGGCTGCCCTGCACAGGCCCCTAGGGTCAGACTGCGGTGACTACAGCACCAGTTTGCGGTGATTGCCAGTCGCTGTGTGCAGAGTTTGCCAAACATTCGGCGGCGGGCCTTCTCAGAAGGCTCGGACGTCCCCAAGCCTTCTGAGAAGTGTTCTAAGCTTCCTCCGAAGACACAGAAAACTTCTGACAAGGCCTGAGGCCTTCTGTCACTGAGAAGCCCCGCCGCCAGTGAGACGGCCTCCTCTTTCTCAATTCCCCCCCTCGCTCGCCGCCGACCGGGTGCCCTTCTGAGCACGTTGGGCCGCCGAAAACCGACCATTTGGCCTTCGGCGTGCTGCAGGGGTCTCACACGAGCAACAGTCGGACGCTCGCGACCCCCAAGAGCAGAGTCCAAAGTGCAGTCAAGTCTTCGCTCAGCCCCTTCCTCCGACCCCCAGGTTCGGGCATCGCAGAAAAATTATGACGGCCAGCGTTGACAGCTTTTGGCGTCTGGATGCCGTTTCCCAGCCTGGGGGCTGTCAAAAACAACCCTGGATGAAAAATTTGCCCTGGTGAGCGGGTCGGGATCCGTGGGAGCCCATGTCACGTACGATGTCGGAGGAATCGGCTAATTGGCGCCCGCCAGGCTAAGGACAATTGATTGACAGCTGTCCGTAACTACGCACAGCGCGAGTCTTGACCGATCACCGCACACCTAGTGCACCGTGGCCGTGGTAATTGGAAACGTCTCTGGGCGATCTCCGGAATGAGATATATCTTACCCCTGGTATCAGTCTCAGGGGCATCATGGCGGGTGGGTTGATTAAGGCACGACGTCATGCAGAGGGGTGTTTGAGGGTGGTCGTCCCCGATGGCTGTTGCCTTACAGACTCCCTGCCTCATTCTGCGGGGTGTTACTGCGTGTGTCGTCTCATTCGTAACCTATGGCTCTCGCTCAGCCCTGACCAGTGTCCGAAGGGCACCGCAAAGGGTGGCCCCGCTCGCCCCCGACGGCACTGGTCCTGGCCCCAGCCTCTTCGTGAGGGGTGCGCTCCGCTGCGGGTGGCCTGGGCCCCAATGACTATCGCCTTGGTGTGGGACTCATTCAAAGTGGCACCAGCGTGCGTGGTCTCGCGTACAATGATGCTCGTGTTGATGACGATGACGACGACGACGATCATGCGGATGATGATAATGATATTGATGTTGATACTGATGTTGATAATTATGATTATGATTACGTTGATGATGATGCTAATGACGATGGCGACGATGACATTACTGATGTTGATGACGATGATGCTGATGACGATGTCGTTGTTGTTGATGATGGTGATGATGAGGGTGATAATGATGATTATGATGATGATGGTGATGGTCATGAGGATGATAATGACATGACGATGACGATGGCGATGATGAGTATAGCGATGATGCTCTTGCTATTGATGGTGACAGTGATGTTGAGGATGGTGGTGAGGATGGTGATGAAGACGATTGTGGTGATAGTTATGTTGATGATGATTATGAGACTGGAGATAACGATGACGACACTGATGGAAGAGGATGATGATGAGGTTGGTGATGATGGTGGCGATGCTGATTATGATGCTGACGATGATGATGCTGATGATGATGGTTCTGATGATGATGATGATGACGACGAGGTTCGTGATGATGATGACGACACTCATGATGCTGATGATGTTGATGATAATGATGCTGATGATGTTGATGAAAATCAGGCTCGAGGTTACTGGGGATTCAGGAGCTGTGCTACTAACTGACCCTACAGGTTCTGAGTTCAAGGCACGAGCCAGGACGGGGGCCCGCGGCCCCGAAGGGCCGTAAGCGGCGCATCAGGCCCCACACGGCCCCATGCCAGCGCCGCCCAGTTTTCCAAGTTTGTCTTAGCCGACGAGGAAGGGCGCCCTCAACGGGCCGAGGGACCCAGGCTGCATGCGGCCAACACGGCCGCATGCAGCTTGGGTCCCTGACCTTGTAGTTGCTTTGGCGTTGACCCTGTAGGGTAATCCACAGGCGTCGCCGCAGCCATTCTTCGGTCACGTTGCAGCTGGCAATGTGACATTTTGGATGTACCGGCCTATCCTCGACTTGAGGCGTGGCTTTGCTCTTTCCTCCCCTGTCTCCTCCCCCTCCGCCTCCCTCCGGCTCCTCCCCCCCCGTTTCTCCACCCTGTCTCACCGATACGATGCAGGGGAATTTCGTATCGCACGTTTTTGCTTGATGACCGTTCTCCTAAGCAGTGGCGAAAACCAGCGTGCTGTGTTCCTCCGTGTTGGTTCCATGTGTGCGGAACTGGAGCCCTGCTCATTCCGTGCTCTGGTCTGTCCGTTTCATCCCAAAGCCCCCTGGAGGGGATGCGGAATACGTTTTACGGGGGGGGGGGGGAAAAAAAGGCTGCATGCGGCCAACACGGAGGCGCCGTGGCGGGCCCCCTTGGGGCCCGAGGAGCGTGTCGCAGGAATTTCGGGCCACAGTGATTTTGTTGATGAGGACGATGATGACGACGAAAATGATGGTCATAGTAATGGTGACGGTGATGGTGATGATGTTGATGCTGATGAGACGCGTGATGTTGTTGCTGTTCATGGTGCTTGTGTTGGTGATGAGACTGATGGCACTGATGAGATCATGGTCACAATCAGCAGCATCACCATCAGCAGCATCGCCCTCAACATCATCATCAGCATCAGCATCAGCAGCATCACCATCACCACTATCGCCATGATCATCCTCATCACCATCAGTACTAACATCAGCACCATCAGCAGCAGCATCATCGTCATTACCATCAGCAACATCATCATCGGTACCATCAACATCATCACCATCATCACCATCAGCATCAGCATCATCATCAACATCGTCCTGCGTTCCGCCAAATCCTCGATTCGCCCGACCGCCTAGGCCCACGCAGAGGCCGCCCCTGGTGGGCAGCCCCAGGCGTGCGCCGGCGCCGAGGGTGCGGGGGCGCGGTCTTGCTTTCTCGCCTCCCCGCTACCGCTGCTGCTTTTTCGACTCATGATCCCCATCGGTACGGTCAGGAACGTTTGCTTAGCGCGTCGCGCCGCCAGTTCTGGCGCACCTCGCTACGTCGCGGCACGCTGACTGCGTCCCAGGCCCCGAGCATCAGTGTCCCGAGCTCGTCCTGGCCTCCCGCCCTACGGCTCGGCGCCGAGTGTGCGAGCAGACCCGCGTGCACGTCTTCCTCATTAGGCGGGTCCCTGTCGACGACGAGCGGGACATTGGTAAACTATGGCATTGCTGGTACCGCATGTGGATCTTTGTAGCAGGTGTCCCGCCCGCTCTTCATCGTCGCTGATCGCCGAATTGCAGCGCAGCGCCCGATTTGGTTCGTGAGGTGGCGCCGCAGATCAAAGAGGGCTTTGACGTGCTCGAGCGCCGCGATCGGAGCCTGGTCCCCGAGACGCGGCACAATTGCTCCTGGCGGCTTGCCGCGTCGCTTCTCCCTCCCCTCCTCCAACCCGCTATCATCTCCCTCCTCGCCATCATCACCCTCCTCCTCCTCCTCCTCTGGCGTTGGCGGGAGCTTCGGCCAAGCGCCATTCCCAGATCCCCGCGGTCATGATTTCTTCACACCGTGCACCCCTAGAGATCTCAACCCATGCCCTGGGACCGCCTTTCATCCTGGTAATGTTTGACGGTCCCAAGGCCCAGCGAGTAAAAACCGTCCTTAGGAGGCAGCACCTGGGAGGTCTTCGTCAGAACGATCAAGGGCGATTGAGCCTGATTCAGGAACCACTGAGCCAGATTAAGCTTAGGATCGAACGGATCAAGTGTGATAGAGCCGGATAAAGCGGGATTGGGACTGATTAAGAGGTAGGAGGCGAGATCCGGCCGGCTTCCGACCAGGAATCTACCAGTGCCGATTCTGAATTCGATCTGCTAGGAGGTGCGTCCTTCAGGAGAGGAACACCGCGAAGGCACAAATAATCGTCAATATAGGTAAACACCGGAAAATATGGGAAGCGGAGGGGATGACAAACATCTTGGAAATCTGTGAAATTTCGGGAATCTTGGGATCTGTGTCTATTTGCGTGTTTGTCCCTGGATATGGTGGCCTAATTCGCGTTCCGTGTACCACACCACGCTTCTTTCGCCAGCGCAGTGACTCTGCCCAGCCGCCGACGCAAAACAGTGTGTCCCTGGGAGCATTCAATCCTGATCTTCCGTCGTAATTGTTCTGGTTTTCTCGAGCCGCTGTGCTGGGTGCCGCTGCTCGGAAACAAGACATCCGCAGGTGCGATTTGTGCAATCCGCGGCCCCAGTTGTCAGGGTCAAGTTAAGTGACCCCCTCCAAGTTTTGTTCAGTGCGTCGCGCGTGCGTCGCCCGGGCGATGGCCCTGGTTTGCGTCTTTGCCCCTAGTGCCGTCTTTGGTCAGATGGGCCAGAGATTTCTGGGGCCCCCAGAAGTCTCCTGCCCATCTGAGCTGTCGGCGGCCCGTTGGGCCGCCCGACCGACCCACGATCCCTGAGCCAGTTACCCTTTCATGCCAGTCGTTGAAAGTAGGTATTTCTGGATTTCAGCCGCCTTCCTACTTCAAAATGCGAGTGGCTTTCCTCTTCCCTCCGCTTCAGGGGGCGGGCGGAAGCCCAATCTACTTCGCAAGCCTTCCTGCTTCATGGTTGTACCGGCCTCTTCCGACCGACGTGTATCGTTGCACCTCATGTATGAGCCCGTCCAGCGTCTGGTTCAACTCCGCAACCCCCTCGCTTGGTGATCAAAATCACGAGGGATGGTTTGCTTTACCATCATCGGCCCCAGGCGCCCTTGCTTGGCCCGTGCAAAATGTCGTCGAGGTATGGGAAGCTGGCCCCAGGGATGGGTCGAGACCTTTGGAGGGCCACGTTGAGAAAACATCACGACGCGGGGGTCTGTGTCGGCCGCTGAGCAGGCTCGATCGTGCGTCCGCTCGGCGAGCGGTTAGGCTTAGGCGCCGGCGTGCCTCAGACGCCGTCGGCGGCCCACTATTTTCGAAGATGTTTTAGTTGTGGACCCCCCACCATTTTCTCTTCGCGGTCGAGAACTAGTCCTAAAACCTCCTCGTCCTTTTCCTCCTTCTTCTCCTCCTCCTCCCCCTTCCCCTCCTCCTCCCCGTTCTTCTCCTCCTCCAGTACTATATTCCTCCTCCTCCTCCTCCTCCTCCTCCTCTTCCTCCTCCTCCTCCTCCTCCTCCTCCTCCTCCTCCTACTACTACTACTACTACTACTACTACTACTACTACTACTACTACTACTACTACTACTACTACTACCACGACTACTCTTACTAGTACTCTTACTACCACTACAACTACCACTACCACTACCACTACCACTACTACTACTACTAACTACTACTACTACTACTACTACTACTACTACTACTACTACTACTACTACTACTACTACTACTACTGCTACTGCTACTACTACTTACTACTACTACTACTACTACTACTACTACTACTACTACTACTACTACTACTACTACTACTACTACTACTACTACTACTACTACTACGACTACTACTACTACTACTACTACTACTACTACTACTACTACTACTACTACTACTACTACTACTACTACTACTACTACTACTACTACTACTACTACTACTACTACTACTACTACTACTACTACTACTACTACTACTACTACTACTACTACTACTACTACTACTACTACTACTACTACTACTACTACTACTACTACTACTACTACTACTACTACTACTACTACTACTACTACTACTACTACTACTACTACTACTACTACTACTACTACTACTACTACTACTACTACTACTACTACTACTACTACTACTACTACTACTACTACTACTACTACGACTTCTTTTACTACTAATACTACTGTCACTACTTCTAGGACTACAGCTATTAATAATATTAGTGATACTACTACTACGACTGCTGCTACTAGAGATCGACGAGCTGCATGGGCCATGGCTGGAGGAGGTGCGAGGCATCCCCATCGTGCCGCCTGGGCCTACATGCTGGCAAGCGGAGGATGGCTCGTGCCTGGACTATGTCATCGCGGCGCCCAATTTGGACACGAAGCTGGGTAGGGCCCGTGTCACCACCGAGGCGGCGTTGTACCCACACTAGCCAGTACACGTGGACCTCGCCAAGGTGGATCGCGTCGACCACATGAGGGTGGTGGTCGAGCCGCGGGGTTTTGGGGCCGTCCCGCTGATAGGGGCGGCGCCCTTCCCCAGGGTCAAGATGCGGGAGGAATGGCTGCAGACGGTCATCACCATCGAGGACACCAGCGGCCTCGAGCACGCGTGGGACGTGGTGATGAGGGCGACTGAGGAGGACCAGTGCGACCGACGGTTTCTTCGTGGCAAGGACAGGCGTCAGCACCAGGGACGTGGAGGCGATCCTGAGTTCAAGCTGGTCCAACCCAAGTGGCAGCCTCCCCGCAAGCGGCGGCTCCACGACTCCAAGGTGAACGCGTACATGGTGGCTGCGCGCTGGGCCAGGCACTTGGACAGGTATCGGGACCGTCTCATCAAGATGCGGGCAGACACTACCAACGTGGACGTGGACAAGGTAGTGGACCTGCTCGGCGGGATCCAGGGCTTCTACGACAATGTGGCCAAGTCGTACTGAGTGCGGGGGCGTCTCGCCGATGACGTGGTGCAGTGGTTCGACGGCGGCCTCGAGCGGATGGGCCATGGGCAGTTGGCAGCCAAGGTCAAGGCTGTGGTCGATGAAGCGGAGAAGCTGCGGAAGAGCTACGGCAAGGAATGCGACGAGGAGTGGAGGGCTTGGGCTGCCAAGAGCCTCGAGGGAGGCGCACGTGCAGCGCATGCCTTCACACGGCTGCCTCCTGCGGCCGAGTTGAGGGGGGCCACGGCCCGTGGCAGTCCACGCGGAGCGCGAGCTGGACGAGTGGAAGGGTGTGTGGTCGTACCACGAGGCCAAGGCGCTGGAGAAGCCTCCCGACTTCGACGAGTGGATGGAGCTGCCGAAGATGAGTATTGGACATCTACGGCAAGCAGCGGGTAAGTTCAAGGAAAGGACGGCCGTGGGCCAGACGGGGATCGCGCCGCATGCACTATCACACCTCAGCGGCATGGGCCTGTACGCGATGTCGGCGCTGTTCAGCCAGTGCGAGAAGATGGGGGAGTGGCCGACCAGCAGGCTCTTCTCGGCGCTGGACCGCCCCCCCAAGGACAGCGGGGGGGTGCAGGCTCATCGCGCCGGTTAACTCGGTGCCCCGTCTGTGGGCCAAAGCGAGGTCGACGATTTCGACGAGCTGGATGGCCCAGGCGGATGTGCCCAACTTGTGGGACATGGGAGGTGCGGGCAGGACCTCCTCGGCGGCGGCGTTCCACCACGACCTGACGGCGGGGGCCACCAACCTGAATTGGGCCACAGTGTGTCGGTGCTGCTTGACGCGTGGAAGGCGTTCGATAGCCTGGTCGCCGACCGTGTGCTGGATGAGGCCAGGAGCATGGGGCATCCACTTCGCCTCATGTGGTCTATCCTGAGGTACCACCACGTGCCGAGGAGGCTCAAGGCGTTTGGCTCGTTGTCGACGGGCTACACGGCGCACCAGGGCATCTTGGCGGGCTGCTCCCACTCGATGGCGGCGCTGGTGGTGGCCACGGCACGGTCGCTCAAGAGGCTCGCCAAGTCCGACGTCGCCCCGAGGGCGCTGGCGGGCGATACCTCGGTCCAGTGGGTTGGCCAGGACCTGCGTGGCGCGCGGGTGCTCTGGGAGGCAGTGCTCAGGTATAAGTGCGAGGTGGCGGAGGTCGGGCTGGAGCCGCAGGTGGGCAAGTCAGGGCATGTAGCTTCGTCGAGGCGGGGCCAGACGGCCGCGAAGCCCTTCGCCTCGAAGGCCAAGATCCGCCCGAAGCACCGCATGAGGAACCCCGGCCACGACCTCAACGGCACGAAGGCGAGAAGGACGGTAGCTAGGAACAGGCTCAGGAAGTTGAAGCCAAGGCTGAAGAGAGCGAGGACTTTGAGGAGGGCCGCTGGCGCCAATGCGGCCTGCTTTTGGCAAGCGGGCCTGCTGCCTTCCACGGCGCGCGGGGCCGCGGCGGGAGGCGCTTCGCCGAAGGAGCTGGCCGCGATGCGCTCGGAGGCGGCGAGACTGGCCGGGGCCCGAGGGCGAGGAGGTAGCATCACTCTCTACCTTGCGAGCCAGCGGAACCCCTACTACGACCCGATCTTCGCGGCCACGGTCGAGCCGATCATGCAGTGCACCAGGGTTATATGGCGCCAGAAGATCAGTTTGGGGGCGCTGGAGCGGGCCTGGCGAGCCACGCTGGACCAGGCGGAGGTTGGCGACGACAAGCCCACGTGGGCGTCGGCCAGGGGACCGCTGAAGGTTGTCATCCTGTCGTTCGACCTGTGATATCGCCGCTGGCAACTCCACCACGGCATTTTCGGGGCCTCCCGAGGCAGGGGATCCAGAGGTGGCAGATGTAGGCGTGGGGATCCCACGGTGGCCGCGCGCTGCTGTGCCAAAGCCGCCTGACGGCCCTCCAATCTTTCTCTGGGGCGACTGGACGTCGCCGAGCGATGCTTGGAACGAGAGGGTGTTCACGGACGGTTCGGGATGCCGCGGTGATGCTCCCGAACTGCGTCGGTGCGGCTGGGCTGCCGTCATGATAGACGCCAATGGAGCCCCTGTGATAGCGGTGCGCGGTGGGCTCGCGGGCGGCCAGCAGACGGTAGGCAAGGCAGAGAGAGAGAGAGAGAGAGAGAGAGAGAGAGAGAGAGAGAGAGAGAGAGGGAGAGAGAGTAGCAGGGCTCAAGGCCCTCCAGCACATCCGTCAGCACGGCTGCTTATAGCGATCTGCTTGAATTCGTGAACGAAGGACGCCAGCGAAGGGCTGGTGATGCGGCTAGTTTGTCGGCGGCTAGCGCTGCGTGCCCGAGTGTCTGGCGGCAGTTGAGCAGCCTCCAGCGTGAGCCCCCCAGTTTCGCTTGGGTACCGTCCCACCTGGGTGATGATGATGTGCTCTTCCCCGCTCTTGGAGGCCCCCCCCCGCCCCCCTTCCCCTGGGTCGTCGGAAACAGGTGGGCGGATTTGTTTTGCCAAGCTTGGGGCCCTGTCGGTCAAGCTGCCTGACGGGCATGGCAGGTTCTATATGGACTGCCTCTCGAATGCCAAGGCGCATGCTCGCTGCCTCGCCTGGGCGGCCCAGCGGAGTTGTAGGCTCGAGCTTTGGTCCGAAAGGGGCGCGACCGATGGCCCCGACGGCCCGACGAAGCCCAAGGCCCCGACCCCACCTAGGCTGACTCTCGCGCTGCATGAGCACGACCTGGTGGAACTAAGAGATAGGTTGTTCTGCAGACGATGCCGGCGCTCTGCCAAGACTGCGGAGGCCCGCGGACAGCTTGCAGGAGGCACCGACAAGAGATGTGTTCCCTCGGCTGTGGCTCTCCTGCAAGCTAAGATCCAGGAGGCTCGCGCCAACGCCGACCCGTCTGGGGCGTCTGGGGGGACTTCTTGGGGTGGGGCCTCGTGGGGGTCGGCCCCTGCTGCCGCTGGGCTTGGGCCTGCCCGTGAGGGCGGGTCTGGGGCCCCCGAGCTTGGGGGCGGGGCGGGGTCTGAGACGGCCCCCGATGGGCCTGCTGCTGGCGGGGCCGCGCCTGGCCGCGGTGACGTGGGGGGCCGTCTTGGGGCTGGGTGGGCTGGCCGCGAGGGGCAGCGCATCCTCATGCCTGGAGGGCGCGACGTCACCGTCACGGGCACGGTGGTGTGGCGTCGGCGATGCGGGGCCTACGGGTCCGACAGGGTGGGCAGGGCCTTCGCGGCCCCCTGCCCTGACCCGCAGGAGTTGCCGACGAGTCGCAAGCATGCGCTCCGCGCGTTGGCTCGGGGTCAGCACCCCAAGAAGGGCAAGACCCTGGAGGGGAAGGGGGTCCTCGCCGCTCTCGCGGGCGGCCGCGCGCCTGCCGAGGAGGCCGAGGTGCCAGACAGTGCTGGAGGCCTGCCCGGCGGCGCCGGGTGGGGCGGGGAGGTCGTCGTTGAGCAGCCGGGGGAGGGAAGGGGTACTGCTGCCGCGAGCAGGCCTGCCGCGCGGCGGGCGAGCTCGCTCGGAGACACCTGTGCTGTGCGATCGGAGGCGGCTCCCATGACCGCTGGGATTGCCTGCACTGGTTTCAAACCGTCGGGTCGCGGGGGGGGAGGGGGGGGGGGGGGGGTGCGACGGCCAGCTCCCGCGCCTCCCAGGGGGGGCCGTTGGTCGAGGCTCAGCCTCCTTCGGGACCGACAGGCCCAGTGTCGGCTGACGGCCCCCAGGCCCCGTGCATGCCCTGCCTCGTGCTCGGAGGGCTGCGGTCAGGAGTGGCGCTCCCGACGCGCCTCTGTCGCCTGCCGCTGCAGGCGCGCCCGCTGCTGGCCCCTCCCAGTCAGGGGCTCGGGGAGCTGCAGTCAGGAGCGGAGCTCCTGGCGCGCCTCCACGGCTCGCTGCTGGGGAGGCGAGGCCGCGTGGAGGAAGTGGGAGTGGGGTCGTTGAGCCGTCGGGGGAGGGAAGGAGTACTGCTGCTGCGAGCAGGCCTGCCGCGCGGCGGGCGAGGTCGCTCGAATACGCGTGTGCTGTGCGATCGGAGGCGGCCCCCATGGCCGCTGGGATTCCTTGCGCTGGTTTCAAACCGTCGGGTTGCCGCGACCTGGCGGTGGAGGGGGGGGCGACGGCCAGCTCCCGCGCCTCCCAGGAGGGGCCGCTGGTCGATGCTCAGCCTCCTTCGGGGCCGACAGGCCCAGTGTCGGCTGACGGCCCCAAAACCCCCACACGTGGCCTGCCTCGTGCTCGGGGGGCTGCGGTCAGGAGTGGCGCTCCCGACCCGCCTCTGTCGCCTGCTGCTGCAGGCGCGCCCGCTGCTGGCCCCTCCCAGTCAGGGGCTCGGGGGGCTGCAGTCAGGGGCGGAGCTCCTGGCGCGCCTCCACGGCCCGCTGCTGAGGAGGCGAGTCCGCGCGGAGGAGGTGGTGGCGGGGTCGTGACGTCGTCGTCGGACGGGGGTGGGGGAAGAGGCGCGTGGGTCACTTTACAACCAGAAGCGCACTTCGCAACCAGATGGGTCACTTTACAACCAGCTTACAAAATCCGAGAAGGGCACTTTACAACCAGGAAGGGCACTTTACAACCAGGCAAGTAAAAACACAGATTGAATGCACGCGGGCCTTTCCCTGAAATCTCCGTGGGCAAGCGCAAGGGTGGCTTTGGGCTCTTTGATGCATGTTGGTTGTGAAGTTGCCCATCGCGCACGAAGAAGCACTGCGCACGCGTTGGCGATGCGGCGACCTGGTGCGCTATGGTAGGTTGCGTGCTGGTGGGCGGATTAGGGTTTTGACTTGCTTTCTAAGCTCTGTCGGTCAGTTTTGCCATTCCTTGCTCTGCCTTTTCTGACGGACGAAGGCTAGTCGCGCAGGACATACGAATAAACCATGATCCCGTCCAAGACCGGAGCCGCACGGCAGCGGGAAGCTGTAGTGGGAGATGTGGCGGTAGCGGGGGCTACAATGGGAACTGCATGGTTTTGGGAAGCTGCGGTGGCAACTGTGGTGGTCGCCAGGCAGCGGTGGGAACTGCGGTGGTAGCTGGGCTGCAATGGGATTTGCGGTGGTAGCGGGGGGTCAGTCGGAATTGTGGAGGTAGCGGGGCTGCAGAGGTAAGTGTGGTGGTAGCAAGCACAAAGGTGGCGGTGATGCGCTCTCACGGTGGCTCAAGCTGCTGCGCTGGCACGGTGGCTGAGGCTGCTGCCCGAGCAGGATACCTGCGTTGCTGCGCTGGCACAGTGGCAGACGCTGGAAGGAACGACCTTCGAACTAGTTGGATTTATTCGGAACGTCGAACCTCGATCTTCCAAGAAGAGGAGCAGCCGGGGGCCACCTGGAGCTGGAGCGCTTAGCCCCTTGCAGAACACCGTGGGGCTTCAAGGGCCAACGTGGCCCAAGAGACCCGCGGTGCCAATGGCCTAGTTCCCTGGGGCGCTGGGCCCTTGTGGAGGCCCCTGGGGCGCTGGGCCCTTGTGGAGGCCACTGGGCTCGCTTCCTGTGAGGGATCCCTAAAATGGGCAGCGCGTCGCCCTGAGCCTTCCTACGTATGCTGTCGCCTTATTCCCGTGCGAGCACGGGGCCCTTGTTGAGGCCGCTTGGCCCCTGCTAGCAAGCCCTGTCTTAGTCTGCTGGGCTCAGAGCGCCAGAGCGTCCAGGCGCTCGGGCTCAGAGGCATCGCTGGGGCCTGCTCAGAGCGTCCAGGCGCTCGGGCTCAGAGGCATCGCTGGGGCCTGCGCAGAGCGTCCAGGTCCTCGGGCTCAGAGGCATCGCTGGGGCCTGCGCAGAGCGCCCAGGTCCTCGGGCTCAGAGGCATCGCTGGGGCCTGCGCAGGGCGTTCAGGCGCTCGGGCTCAGAGGCATCGCTGGGGCCTGCGCAGAGAGTTCAGGCGCTCGGGCTCCAGAGCGCCCACGTGCTCTGGAGCACTTTTCAGAGCGTCCGCGCGCCCTGGAGCACTTTTGAGAGCGCCCACTTGCTCTGGAGCATTTTTCAGAGCGCCCACTTGCTCTGGGGCATTTTTCAGAGCGCCCACTTGCTCTGGAGCACTTTGCGGAACGCCCAAACACGCACGGCCACTCTGAGCTGGTTGTAAAGTGGTCCGTTCTGGTTGTAAAGTGGCCCGTTCTGGTTGTAAAGTGGTCCGTTCTGGTTGTAAAGTGGGCCGTTCTGGTTGCAAAGTGGACGTTCTCGATGAAAAACCATACTTTCCAATCCTATGTTGGTTGTAAAGTAACCCATCTGGTTGTAAAGTGGTTGTTCTGGTTGTAAAGAGATCGAATCTCGGGGGAAGAGCCTCGGCGCTGGCGCCCGAGCCCGGCAAGGCGAGGCGGGCCCGACTCGTCCAGGGGTTGCTGCGGGCTGCGCGGGGAGAGCCGCCCGTGGCGGAATTGGGCCAGGCCCAAGCGCCTCGCCTGCATGGTGGAGTGGCCCCGCGCGGGCCGAGGGCCGATCCCCTAGAGATGGGGGGGCTCCCAGGGGCTCGGGCTGACTGCTAAGTCAGGAAGTTGGCCCGGGTCTCTCATCTCTCGCGCGCAGCAGGGGTCCGTGCTTGGACTCTTGTTCGATGTCGCTCGCTCGCTCGCTCACTGCTGCTACTACCACTACTACTGCCACTATTGCACCTAGTACTTCACCTACCACTACGACTACTCCTATTGCTGCTACTGCTACTATTACTACTACTACTACTACGACTACGACTACGACTACTACTACTACTACTACTACTACCACTACTACTATTACTACTACTACTACCACTACTACTACTACTACTACTACTACTACTACTACTACTACTACGGCTACTACGGTTACAACTACCACTATTGCTTCTCCTACTACTACGACGACTACAACATTACTGCTACTAACACTATTATTTGTTTAGTGTTCTTCCTTCTACGACCACGATTACTGCTTCCACGACTACCACAATCACTACGACTACTACTACGACGACTAATACTACTACCGCTACGACCACTACTATTATTACTACTACCACTACTACTACTACTACTACTACTACTGCTACTACTACTACTACCACTACTACTACTACTACTACTACTACTACTACTACTACTACAATTACTACTACTACTACTACTACTACTACTACTACTACTACCACGACTATGACGGCGACTACGACTACTACTACTACGACTACTACTACTACGACTACTACTACTACGACTACTACTACTATTACTCATACTACTACTCCTACTACTACTACCACTACTACTACTACTACTACTACCACTACTACTACTACTACTACTACCACTACTACTACTACCACTATTGCTTCTCCTACTACTACTACTACTACTACTACTACTACTACTACTACGACGACGACGACGACGACGACGGCGACGACTACTACTACTACTACTACTACTACTACTACTAGTACTACTACGGCTACCATTACTACCAGTGAGAACTACGACTACTATTACTACTTTTGTGCGTATTGGTTGGTATTATTACAACTACAGCTGCTACTAGTATTGCTGCTGCTGCTGCTACTGACAAGTACTGCTAGTATTACCACTACTACTGCCAGTCTTACGGTTACTTTTGATGCAACTAGTATTGGTATTTTTTTTACGATCTCTACTATAATTGTTTCTATTGCTAGCACTACCACTATTACAACCATTGATACTAGTATTAGTTCTACCCGTCTGCAAATTAATACTACAACTACTACTACTACTATTACTACTAGTGCAGTTTCTACTACTACTTCTACCATTCGTACTACGATTACTACTACTACTACTACTACTACTACTACTACTATTTCTTCTACTTCTACTTCTCCAGATACTGCTACTCCCACTACGGCGTATCACGTACCATATACTAATACTACAGCTACCATTACCTCTACGATTACTACAACGATTTCATTTTATTACTGTTCAGACTACGGTTACGAGGACCACGACTACTACCCTACTAGTACGTCTACTTCGTCTACAACTACTGCAGCTACACTCATTACCGTCACGATTATTCCGATTACTACTACTACTACGAATAGTGCAGCTATTATTACTTTTACCACGACTACTATAACTACGACGACTACTACTACTTCTGCCGGCCACTACTACACTATCACTACTGGTGCAGCTGCTGATACTTCTGCTGCCAAAACAATGAGTACGACTACGACTTCAACTGCTCTGACAACCACTGCTACTATTACTATTGCTACTACTACTGCTACTACTACTACCACTACTACGACTACCACTACTACTACTACAACGACCACCACTAATACTGTTACTACTACCGGTGCGACTACTACTGCTACTATTGCTACTACTATGTCTACTTCTAATATTACTCCCACTTCTAACTACATCTACGAGTACCACGGCGGATATCGGTATTTTACTATTACGAATGTTGCTAGTCGAATCGCTACGACCTTTGTATTGGCACTGCCACATTCTTACGAAAGGTACGGCTACTACTAGTACTGCTGTCATTACTACTAGTATCTTCATTACTACTACCACTACTACTACGACTACTACTACTACTACTACTACTACTACTACTACTACTGCTACTGCTACTACTACTACTACTACTACTACTACTACTACTACTACTACAAGTACTACTACCACTACTCCTACTAATTTAACTACTTCAATTACTATTTCTATTACTACTAGTACTATTCCTAGTATTCCGGCTGCCACTAATACGGCTACTACTACTTGTATGATTTGTGCGACTGCTACTACTATTTTCCTTCTTGCGGCTGCTGCTACTACTTCTAGGACTACTTTTACTAGTTCGTGAACTCCTACTGCCACCACTATTAATACTACAGCGCATGCGACTACGACTACGACTACGGCGGCGACAACGACGACTATTTTTACTGCTAGGATGATAGGCCGTGAGTATTTTTTTCGATTAGCAATATCCAAGCTATTGTTGCGAGTAAAACAATTACTTCTACTACTACCGCACCTCTATCAATGTTTATGCCTACTGCGATTACGGGCCACGACTACGGACTACGACTACGACTGCGCTTGCGTTCCTTATTACGACTACAGCTCGACGTCTTATTGCACCCAGTTCTTTTACTCCTATTACTTGGGCTTCAACTGCTATCACGACTGCCATTATCATTATTGCTATTGCTACTCAGACTACTCTCATTGCTACAACTACTACGTCTATTTCCACTACAACTGTTACTGCGGTTGTATGATTAGTTTCACTACTACTGCTATTATTTCTACTACTACTGCTGCTACTATTACTACTACTACTACTACTGCTACTACTACTACTACCACTACTACTACGACCCGCATTATTATTTCTACTACTCTTACTTCCAGTACTACTCTTCTGCCTACTACTACTACTACTACTACTACTAGTACTACTACTACTACTACTACTACTACTACTACTACTACTACTACTACTACGACTGCGAGTACTACTGTGACTACGATTATGAATACCACTATTATCATTACTACTACTACTACCACTACCACTACTACTACTACTACTACTACTACGACTACTACTACTACTACTACTACTACTACGACTACTACGACAGCTCCTGTTATCATTGCTACTATTACTACTAGTACTATTACTACTACTACTACTACTACTACTACTACTACTACGACTACTATGATTACTATTATTACTACTACTACTACTAGTACTACTACTACTACTACGACTACTATTACTACTACTGCTTCCACGGCTACTATGTCTGACTACCACAACTACACTAGTACTACAGGTGTTGCAGCTACTACTGCTACCACAACGATCACTACGACTACGACTACGGCTACTACGACCACCATTGCTACTACTACTACTACTACTACTACTACTACTACTACTTTACTACTTTACTACTACTACTACTACTACTACTACTACTACTACGACTACTACTACTACAAGTACTACTACTACTACTACCACTACTACTACTACTACTACTACTATTACTACTACTACTACTAGTACTACTACTACTACTACTTCTTCTTCTACTACTACTGCTACTACTACTACCCAGTATTAATACTAACGCTGCTACTGCTACTGCTACTCCTACGACTACCACTATCGTGATCGGCGTGGTCGTCGTCGTCCTCGTTATCGCCGTCGCAGCTCCAGTTCCAAGGTTCACCGTTAATGTTTCAGTCGGGCATCCAGGCCAACATGGCTTTCTCCAGGTGGGAGAACTTTGGAAGCGCATGTTAATTTCTCAGGCATAAGGGTTCATTACACCAGAGCAAAAAAAACAACCAGAAGATGATTTGAAAGTTAACGATTTGGATATTCTACTTGATGGTGAGATCCCAAGTGAGATCGATCGATGGTGAGATCGATTGTGAGGACGGTAGTATGGACGGACGTGGGACCGATAGTGAGATCGATTTTGAGATCGATCGTGAGATCGCTCGCGCGATCTATAGTGAGATCGATTGCGTGATTGATACTGAGATCGACTGTGAGATCGATAGTTAGATCGATAGAGAGGTGGGTAATGAGATCGGCGGTGAGACCGGTTGATAAGGGAATTGGGCAGGAACCCAGAAATCCGGGGATTCCGCCGCCCACCGACATCCCGGAACTTGGAACAGGGAACCCGAGAACCCGGATCGGGGAACCCAGTAACCCGGCCGCTTACCGAAATCGGCCAGGATTGTCGCCAAATGTTTCAATCTCCGCTGGGACCCCTTCGGTGCAAGCACTGGTTGGGGAACAGTACGCAACCCACAACACAGCACACAACGCACAAGCATCACAACACGCAACACGCAATAACAAACAACACACAACACAACACACAACACAACATTCAACACACAACAGAACACACAGCACACAACATACGACGCACAACACACAACACGCAACACACAACGCACAACGCACAACATACATCACACAACATGCAACACATTGCCCACAACACACAACACACAACACCACACAACATACATCACACACCACACACCACACAACACGCAACACACAACGGACATGACGCACACCAAACAACACCCCACACGCAACACGCAGGACATTACGTACAACACACAGCACATCCAGCAGGCAACACACACACACACCACACCACACAACACACAGCTCACAACACACAGCACCAAACACACAACGCACAGCACACAACAATATTGCACCAGAGAAAATTTCAATCAGTTGATGATATGAAAAGTAGTGCTGTGGATATTGAGATCGGTAATGGGATTGATCGTGACATCGATAATGAGGACGATTGTAAGGTCGATCGTGAGACCGACAGTCAAGTTGATCCAATGATATCGAAAGTGAGATCGATCGTGAGATCGCTCGTGCGACTGCGTGCGA